ACAATTTAAATTATTTGTAACTATTTGCAAAATCAAATAAAATCTTGTTTGACTCTTTAAATAGTAATAGATTTGTTCTTTTTAAAACGGAGAGAGCAAATGCTTCTTTGAGAATTTCAGATTTACAGTAGGTGCAAACTTGATCCAATTTTGTTGCGTTTAAGATCACATACATTCAATCAGATAAACTTTGGCTGAAATATTTTGGAAGTTAAAATTGGATAGATAGAAACAAATGTCGATATAGTAAGAATATTTTGTTTTGCCTTGCCGTATTAAAATGAAGGAAAAATCAAGGTTCATGAGGATATTCTATATTTGTTTCACTAGTCATCAATGTGATCATAACAAATTTAAATAACTAAGAGAAGTCAAGAAAGGATAGTGAGAAGTACAATGATCAATTCAAAACAATATAATAGTCATAAATCTTGCAGCAGTTATGACTTTCCTCAGTAGCTAATTCACAACCTAGGAGAAGAATAGGAAAAAAGTAAAGAGAAAAATTGTTTATACAATTATACTTTATGATTTTACACTTACCGTTTTTTAATAATCATGGTGTCCGGACCAATTTGTGTGCACGACGACTAATTATAATGTTGTACGATGGGCCGGGCTGGGACCGGGACCGGATCGGGCCCGCAGTCCTAACGGGCTAAACGGGTCTGGCGGGCCGGTCTTGGTGGACCGGTCCTTAATGGTGCAAAAAGCCCGTGGTGGGCCGGGTATGGTAAAAAAAACCACGAGCCCGGGACCAGCTAGCGGGCCTGGGCCTTTCTTACCGGGCCTAACGGCTAATTTTTTTAAAAAAAACTACGGTCAAAAATTAAAATTATAGCCGTTGGGCTGCAATTTTGACAGTTTGGAAGTTTAAAAAATAGTCATTTGGCCCTCAAACTTTATTTTAATCCCAAACTTTATATAATTATACTTTTTCCAATTTTCAACTATAAATACCCCCTCATTCTTTCATTGTTACTCACCAATTCATCAATCTCTCTACTATAATTGCTTATTTTATTGTTGAAATTTCGTGAAAAATTGTGAAGTTGGTGAATTGAAGTATTCAAGTCTTCAAAGATTTTCAATTTTCAAGAAGTTATTCGGTAAACGCGTTCCAACTCTTAAGTTTTAATATTATAGTTTTGTTAGTTTTATTTAGTATAATTATAATTTATATGGCATTTTCTTTGAAAAATATTTTTGGTGGTAAAGGTAAAGCTAAAATTGGTGAAAGTAGTGGCCATCCTACTACCCTTCCCCCGGCTCCCCGACCCAGACCTGGTAGACGTCCTGCTGCTCCTATTATTCTTGATAGTGATAACCCATGTTTTCAATTTTCCGATAGTCAATTTTGCATAATGTTGCACCAGGTGAAAATTTAGATGATGAAACTATGAATGTTCTTTATCCTAATGAGATACAATGTAGATTATAGTGTACATTGTACTTTGGCATATCTTCTTTTAGTTTTTTTTCCTTTTAATGGTGGTATTAGTACCTTGTTGTGCTCATTCCATTGGGGGGAGGAAGACTAAGAAAGATATTCCATTTTTGGTAATAAAATTATAAGACATGCCCTTGAATATCTTTTTANATATATATACTACAAAACATTATAAGAAATTATATTTGGAAATATATATACATAACATACTATAAATAGTATACTATACTAGTATATTATATATACTACAAAACAAGATTTTTCAAAATTCAAAATGAGGGCCTCATCCCCAATGACCACCAACGGCCATATTGCACAAATAGCCATTTTTTTTTCAATTTACAAAACTAACCTTCTCTAACACTATAAATACCCTCCTCCCTCTTTTTCATTTCAATACTCAATACTCATTTCTCAATCTAAATTTCTCTCAATCTCCAATTTCAAGACTTCAAGTCTCAATCTTAATTTTCAAGTTACATCATGGCTCGTTCGGAAAGAGTGCGCTTATTTGTTTCGCACTTCACTATGAAGTGCTTGAAGAAAATGAAGAAGGCCAAATATTAAAATGCAAGAACTGTGGAAGAGTATTAAATTTTCGTTCAGGGTGTACCACAGGTATTTTAAAGAGGCATATAACGTATTGTGTTGATGGTATTTATCCGCAAATTCATCTTTAAGATATTTCAACAATTTTTGTTATTTTAAAATTATTAGACGTATTTATGCTTCATGTTGTACTTTCTTATTAATTTATTATGCATGGCAATTTAGTTTTACTATTGTTTTGTTATTTTAGTTTTTCGTCAAGCACTTTAATGATTAGATTTCTACATATATATTACATATATATTATTTATATAGCCATGATATGGTTTACAAGAAATTGCTTTAAACAAAAAAAAATTAAAAAAAAAAGCACGGAAATAAAAAAAGCCCGTTAGACCCGCTAAGCCCACGAGCCCGGCCCGTCACGGGTTGGTTCCACCCGTTGAGTCCACGAAGTCCGGGACCGCCAGAGCCTAGGCCCGTTTGGCCCATTTAGGCCCGGCCCCGGCCCAGAATACAGCATTATGCTTTACATTAAATGGTTGATAATATCAACCCCCTTTGATATGTTGCTGAAAATGCTTCTGAGCTGCTACATTACTAGCAATTGCCGTATCATCATTGATTTCTCTGTCAATTAATTGTGTCTCAATCTCATGATTTTCATTAATAAATCTCTCATGACAAAGAAATTGGAAAAGGGTGTTCATAAAACACCCTAAAATTGGAATTCTTGAAAGAATATATGCAGTTTGTTGTAAATTCATGGCAATTCACGCAATGAAAATTAGTAAAAGATTTTGAACTTTGAAGAATGGCTAGTGAGTCTTGAATATGTGAAGAAGTTGAATTAATTTATAGCTGGAATTAGTGGTGGGACGAAAAAGTTTGAAAGCATGGTCCATTAATTTGCTTTATTTACTTGACACCCAAGTCCTACTTTCTTGTCATTTTCCTGCCTCTTTTTTGTTCTTGTGGCGAAAGATGTAGCCATCTCAAATTGACTGACTCTTCAAACCATGAAGAAAAAAGGTGCAAGATTAAACAGAGGCGGATACAAAATTTTAAGTGCAGAGTTACTATAATAATTCCGAGTTAATATTTATAGTTATATAATAAACTTTTTAATACACATATAAAATTAACATAAAAATTACCGACCACACGTAAACAGAGGCAGAGCGAGCCTACTAGGTGCGAGTTCGACCGAATTCAGTCACTTTTGCTTAGACACTGTATTTTTATTAAGGCGAAGATGAGGAATAGTGTGACTCGTCGAGCCAAACATCTTTCAAAGCACTACTACTATCATTTGTGTGTAGTCTTAGCTCGGCTATCAGCTTTTATTTGGAATTAGGATCATGTTTGATCCGAAGTTAGGTTTTTAATCTTGTTTAACGTGGTATAATTCTAAGTTAACCCAAATTTTTAATTAATGGTTGTTTGGAAAATAGTAGATATAAATTGAGATATTATCCAATCATACTTTAGTAATCTCAGTTGGTTTTTTAATAATAGTAAGCTACTATATTATTAATACTGAAATGTATCATTAATATAATAAATGTATATACTATAAAATCAAGATCTAGGCTCTAGCATGTACAAAGGAGAATTCTAGCGAGAAGAATAATTTTCTTTTCAACTACCAATCAACAAAAAGAGATTTTAATTTTTGCCAAAAGAGAAACACAATAGGATCAAGTGTGTATATATTGAGAACAAAAAACCACCTTTTGAGTCAAAAAGGGAAAAAGAACAAAATTCTTGATTACTTTGCAAGCTCTAATACAGTATGCAAAATGACCTTCATAACCATAAAAATATTAAGAAAATCAGTGAATAAAAACATCGTTGTGGCATGAAAACAGAACAAGCTCCATAAAATAGGATATTAAGTGAACAATATATATTGTACCATATTGAGTAGTTTTTTTATAAAGTTGCATATGCAGAGGCGGATCTAGGATTTGAAGGTGGTGGGTGTCATAATTTCTTTTAGTGTATACCTTATAATGACTAATAAAAAATTAGTTAGAAATATTTATTCAATTTTTTAAATAAGAAATCATACCTTAATTATAACAACACAAGTAAAATCAACATTTACACTAGTTACATTTTTTTTTGTATATTAAAAATAAATTTACACAAGATAACATCTTCAATAAGGGAAATACATCAAGCAGAATAAGAATTTTTAAAAAAATATCTTCAATAGATAAATTATACCCCACAAGTATAGAATTAAATAAACTACAAGTTTTTAAAAAAAAACAAAATCATAAATATCATATTTTTCAAGCAACTCTTACAAAAATTTTGTCATAATTTAATAGTAAAGAGATTTAAATTATATTTAAAAACTATAGAATAACACAAATTTTTATGATATAAAAAAAAGATGAATTTTTTTTTATCTCAATCGAAAATTTCCATTTAGACCCAAATTTTTTGGGTATGAAAGAAGAAAACTCATAAATTTGAGACTAAGAGGAATGTTTATTTTATAGAATTTTATAATTTTGGAGTTTCTTTTTAGAGTGTTCTTGTTAGAGAGCACATATAAATAATAGAATTAAAAAAGAAAAGAAAATTACAAAAATAATGAAAAGATAAATAGAAATTTGGGAGGTAGCCAAAAAGGAAAATGATTGGGACAAAAAGAAATAAAAAGCACACGAAAAGGGAAAGTCGGACAAGGTTCAAGATAATTTCCATCTTGAATTTTACACACGAAAAAAGCTTTCAAAAAGATTTATCAGCCATGGCACTTTTGTCTAATTTACGACTGCGGGTGGTAGGATCAGATATTTAACCTAATTTAAGAAAATTTCAACATATGTATATAAAAATTTTATCATCTTAGCGGATGTCATGTCATGGCACCCCATTGTAAAGGGGTGGATCCGCCCCTGTGCATATGTGCTAGCTAGTGAACAAACTATAAAATTCATAGCAACGTATCAAATTACAGGTATAGATAATTAACACACTGCGATAAACCAAGAGTAAAGAGATATCAAGTTTTTTTATTTTCCCCCTAAAATAAGTATTTTCTAGATGTTTCAAAAAAAAATCCTCACTTAATACAATCTGTACCATGGCCTTCAGTAAACATCCTGAATGCTCGTCCAAACCCTTGGATTATGTTGTGTAGGATATTGTGTTTCTTCAAAATTCTTTTATTCAATGAAAGATAAGGGAAAGTAAAGATACAAACTAATTAAAATTTGTACACCATGTTTTCTGTAAAGCCAACATCCTTGAGTAGTCCAGTTAGCTGTCAGAAAGCAAACATAAACATCATTAGAGGCAATGCAATACTAAGAAACAGGTAATTAAATTCTTTTGGTAGATGGAATAAGTACCTCGCCTTGCTCACGAGGTTTTGGCTTTTCGCCAGATAAATGTTTCATCATCCCAGGAGGGCCACATACCTGGACACAAACATAGTTTCGGATGATTCCACATAAATCTAATGTCATTACGGAACAAATTCACAATATCAGTGATTCTTCTAGCAACTCATGAAATCTTGAAGAGTATGGCACAGATCACTTACCCTAACCCAGTCACTCTACACCGAGTAACAACTTGCCTATAGAAGTCCGCACCCCTACCCCTCAATTATCATGAATAGCAAAATACTCTACACAAGAAACCAACTACAGCTACATCCTTAAAGTTACCGCATACGGGAGAGCTGCCTTTTTTAGCACCTTTGCTGGAAGGCCCCTCTAACGCGTGCTATAGTAAACATAAGTTGAAGGGAAAAGGAAAAGTGAAAGAAAAAGTTCTCTATAGGAAACTTCTTCCATATAAGTGAAATACCCACTTTTCCATGCAAACCTATAACATCTCCAAAGTCTACATCCCATTTTGCAAATCTTTAACAAATGGAAACCCCAGGTAAAAGGTTTCACACCTTCTGCTTTAAGTAAAGTTGCATATCTTACTATATTGATTACATGTCCCATCTGCACCATCTTTCACATACTTTTGCATAGCACTATTAGTTCATGAACTTACACCTTGTCCAGGCACAACTATTGGTTTGCACCAGCTACCAGTCAGACTGAAGCCAATAGAAAGGAAACATACAATTAGGACCTTATCTTCCTTCTTGCTAATTCTCAGGTATTTGTGTTCTCAATTACTATATAGTCCTAGACCAGAAAGCAGAGACAAACGTCCAAGCATGAAAATCCACTTTCATGTCATACAAAAGAGTGAATTGTTGGCCTTTGAGGCACTGACAATTAAACCTCTTTCAGAAAACTTACAAGGATAAGTGTATCATCACTGGGCGGAGGTAGTCCTTTCACAATCATGTCCTTTGATACGTAACCGATGCCGCCTCTCCAATCATTGGTTGGACTATCTACAGTGTAAAATACCTGGATATTGCCATATAGAGAACATGTTGGTTTAATGAGGAAAAGGAGAGGGCAGAAGAACAACATTTCATATTAACTCTGCCAGTACCTTGAGATTAGGGTGAGTTGCCGCAAGTACATCAAGCTTCTTCTTTAGCAGTATGTCATCAGGTGACACATTAGCATAAATCAACGAGACCTAAAAGAAAAAAAGGCCCATGAGTGTTCTTGTATATTTATTGATAAAAGACCAACTCAGAAAACAACAGGGGCAAATGCTGCCAGCAAAGTACATCTTTACTACTTTGCATACTACATGGGTATTGAATTCGTCCGTTCAGTTGGTTTTGAATTGTTGAGTTCAATTTAGCAAGTTCACTCAATAGACAGGTAAACCGATTACTGAACCTATATAGGATCAGTTTGGTTTCAGTTTGGGCCTCTTTGGTCTCTAATCGATTGCTTCATAATACAAACTCTTTTTGGCCTTAGATTTGTAGAAATTAATTGTCGCGCCCTCTCCAATCAAAATTATCTTACAATAATTTTTGGACAAACTGTTTTTAGAATAAGTAAATAGGAAACTTTTGTGAAGATTTCGGTGCTTTTGCCTTAGAACCAGAAACTCAAAATATTTAAAATGGAAAACCCGGTCGATTTACTTGGTAAGTGCAAAGTGATAAACACCCCCTCCATACTGACTTGTGGATGACGCAGTAAAAGATTGGATAAATAAACATACCTGAGTATGATCGTCAGGGTTTTTAAGAATGGCCTCTATCACCTGGAGCATTGGAGTGATGCCACTGCCCGCTGCAATCTGGCATTGGAAGAATGAGTTTGAATTCTATTATATTTCAGACACACATGAATGGAAGCATAATATAATTCAACCATAATCAGCATCTGATAGAAACATCTATTGAGAATTGTACAAACAGTGAGAATTATAAATTAAAGTGTGCCCAATGGATAGAGGAGATTTGATTCAAACCATCACCGGGACATGATAAACCTAGATAACACCCACATTTTCAATCAAAAAGAACCTTAATGTTCATATTCACAATACAAGCTTTGTCTACCAGAGAGATCCTAAGAGTATTTAACAGTTTAAAATTATCAAGTCCTTGATACACTATGATTCACAGGTAAAGTTAAGTTTTGATATCAACAAGCTGCATATAACTAGACTTAGCAAATAGTTCTTCTTCTTCACAAGTTTCACATCTGACTCCTCCTGTAATCAGCATGAGTTCCATGCTTCAGTGACATCATTGCATAAAGAATATCACGTAAAGGACGCCATGTATTCAAAGCTGACAGAATATGAACATGCCTTCCACCAATTTCAACTTTCAGAATGGATAGTACTTTCTCTGCTGCTGTTTTTATTTTTGTTAATAAGCATAATAAACTAATTCTGGTGAGTACTCTGCCTACCTTTAAAACTCATCCCAGAAAGTGAGTTATTTCTACATAACTTCCTAATCAAGACCATGAATTAGAGTTTCAACCTAGTCATATTGCACTCTTTCTAAAATTGTAGTGTCACAGAGAACACTTAGATGCAAGCTCTTACCATGCCTATATGTTTCTTCATGTTTGGACTATAACGCAATTTCTCAATGGGCCTGCAGATATAGAATGCAATTGTTGACTTGTAAACTACAAGATTAATAAGATTACGAAAGAAAGAATCTCTGCTAGAATTTACTAAGTTGTGTAACTGACCCTTTCACTTCAAGTACATCGCCGGGTTTTAAGCTTGCAAAATGCTGGCTCATTTTCCCTTCAGGATAAACCTGCATTTTTTATAGTTCCAAGAAACAATGTAAAGAAAAGCAGGTTAAACAACATGTTCTGCAAGTTAGGTCAACAGTAAGTTCGATAATATATAATGTAGGAATACTGCAAGCATATACTTTAATTAACAAATCAAAGTATCCCTTGGAATCTGGATCAGATATAGGAGTATAACTGAAAACAAAAACATACTTAAGAAGATTACTTGCTGTTCAATTTAGAGCGTCCAATGAGGTATCTAATAATAAGCACCAGCCTAAACTCACAATATCAATTTTGAAGGGACAATAAACTGTGTGTGTGTGTTAACTGTACATGTCTATGAAAATAAAGCTTAGAGACTGTAAACTGTGGCACTTACTCTGGGCAGAAGCTTTAAAAGGGAATTTGACTAGTTGGAAATTTTTGCCATTTAGATACGGGAAAAGACTGTTGGTATAAGTTACACTTGGATGTAAAAATTATGACAACCTTATTGTGACAAAGAGTGTAAGTGATTAGCTGAAGATTTTAGTCATTCAAGAGAAGAGATGAATTTGTTTCACATTGATATGAAAAGTAGGTCCATAAAAAGGGATAGATGGAATTGAAGAAAAGCACATAGATGTTTCTTTTTGGTTTTAATTCACTTGAAAGGCATAGCACCCAAGGGTGTAGTCTAGTAGGCAATGAAAATGGAATAGACCATGGAAGACAAAGGTTTAGATCCCAGCAGAGAAAAAAAGCTAGGTGATTTTTTTTCATTCGTCTTACCCTTAATGGAAAAAGTTACCGGTACTTGTGTTGGTGAAAGGTAGCAGAGTATTAGTGAATAGTCGAGGTGCATGCAAAATACTCCAAGACATTACCAAAAAAAATTAAGCAGAAAGGCATATTATCTGAACCCAAATAAGATTTTTCAACATTTTATGTGTCATCCTTGACTAGGGAGTATTTGTACTCCTCTCAACCATGGATGTAACCTTCTCACTTTTTATCAGGAAAAAAGACATAATTTTCATAATTAATATTGTTATCAGCATAAAAATGTAAAAGGAGCATGACTGCTTTCTCAGTTCATACAGCTGAAGAGCAACTAATAAGCATTCAAATGCATCAAATAGTAGAGCTATACATGAAAAAGGAAACGCTAAGAAAGAAAATTTATAATAATGAAACTTACGGTCGAATGACATATTTTGGTTTTCCTTCAGCATTTTCTCCCATCGGTGCCCTAAAAGAAGGAAACAATGTATTAGTATGTCAGAAGTAATGATCCAGAAACCATATTCTCCATAATTCTTGTAACAAGTACAAAACTTCTGAACTTTCTCATGAAACAAAGACACTATGCAAATGAGATTAAAATGTAATGGAACTTACCTCGTAAGAATGCAAGATGCAATATCAAGACCTAACTTTGAAGAAGGATCGAATGAAAACCTACAATATTGGAGGAAAGAAAGAACAGATCAATAGTATAACCTAACTCAGCCATTAACTACTCTTCATATATCTGAATACAAAAGTGGAAAACAGTTCACGATTCTTTTTTCCAGTTCACAAGTGGAAAACATTATCAAACAGGCCCAGTCAGAAATGGTAATGAACACCACCTTGGTTAAACAACCAATGGTGACTTTGAACACATCCGTGT